GGGGGTCTCGAGGCTGGGGTGGGGGTCTCTGCGAAAGCTACGCTGGGACTCTGCGCGCGTCCAAGTGACGGGCCAAAGCCAGAACTGCAGGTCAGCTCAGAGGCGAGGGCTCCAGCCTTGAGGGCAGACGCTGAGCCCCGGTCACTCTTGCAGTTGGGAATGGACTCGGTGGGAGGGAAGACGGTACCTGGTGGAGAACGCAGCCACCAGCTCAAGGAACCTGCAACATCCCTGCCCCAAAGGCTGGCCGCGGGCTCACATCAAAGTGTTCAGGAGACTTAGCAGCATTTTCTGCAGGGCCATCTGGGCAGGCGAAGACAGGCAGGGTTAAGCTCAGGCTTAATGGACCAAGGTTCAGAGGGGCTGGGTGTGCAGCCAGAGGCTCTGTGCGTTTCCAGGAAGCATCTGTGCTGTTTATGGGAAAGCAGCAGGCGCAGTGAGCCAGCTGAAGCACCGGCTTCCATCCAGTTGTAGTGGAAACCCTCACCTTAATCTCCCAGGAACCATGGATGCTGTGGAACTTGCCAGAAAGCTACAGGAGGAGGCCACATGCTCCATCTGCCTGGACTATTTCACTGACCCAGTGATGACCTCTTGTGGTCATAACTTCTGCCGCGAGTGCATCCGGATGACCTGGGAGAAGGCAAAAGGCAAGAAGGGGAAGAGAAGGCAGAAGGGGTCATTTCCCTGCCCCGAGTGCAGGGAAATGTCCCCCCAGAGAAACCTGCGGCCAAACCGCCTGCTGACCAAAGTGGCTGAGATGGCGCGCCAGCACCCGGGGCTGCAGAGGCGGGACCTGTGCCCCGCACACCAGGAGCCCCTCAAGCTCTTCTGCCTGGAGGAGCAGACCCCTATCTGCGTTGTCTGCAGGGAGGCCCGGGAGCACCAGTCGCACAGGGCGCTCCCAGTGGATGAGGCCGTGCAGGAGTACAAGGTAGGGGAGGGGGGCCCCCGCAGGGAGGGCACCTGACCAGCAGATAAGAGGCGCTAGCCAGCACTGGGAAGGGCCTCTCGGGGGCCAGGAACCCCGGTTGGAGATGAAAAAGTGGCATCCAGTGAAGAGGGAGCCAGGATCAATGCTAGAGAGGGAGGGTGTCCAGTGAAGGGCAGGGCTCCTAGGCCCAAGCCAACAAAGGGGATTTTCCGTGGCCAACTCCTAGGCTTCACTTTCAGGGCCCTGGCCTGGCCTGGCAGCCCAGTGAGCCACTCTGGAGGGGTGGAGTCCCAGGTAGTTGTGTTCCACTCCCTCTGAGAGCTAAGGGTCTGTGCGGCCTGGCTGGTTAGAAATGTGCTCAAATGGTTTGCAGGAGAAAGTGGCACTAGGCTGCTGCTGGTCTAGCTGTGGAACAGAGGGCAGCACACCAGCAGCGGCACACCTTCCCCTCCCAGTCCCAAATTACAGAACTGCAAGTGTTCTGATTCTCCAAATCAGACTCCAAAGGATCATATTTTTTGGGTGGGGGTCAATTGTGAGGCTTTTTCTCAGGCCCTGGGCATGGTCCCTGAGCTCTTTTGCTCAAGGCTAATGCTCTACCACTTTGAGCCACAGCTCCACTTTTAGTTTTCTGGTGGTTGATTGGAGATAAGAATTTCAGACGTTCCTGCCTGGGCTGGCTTTGAACTCCAGTCCTCAGATCTCAGCCTTCTGGGTAGCTAGGATTACAGGCGTGAGCCATCAATGCTTGGCTGGATGACTGTCTTAATGTGGACAGAAAAGGAAACTGAAAAAGCACAAGTAAAGGTGCTTGGACTTGGGCTGGGAAGGTGGCTCAGTGGTAGAGTGTTTGCCTAGCATGCATGAGGCCCTGGGTTCGATTCCTCAGCACCACATAAACAGACAAAAGCCGGAAGTGTCTCCGGTACAAGGTGGGCAGCTTCTGTCCCTCAGCCTTCAGGAACAAAAACATTGAGGGATTCCTGCAACTACGCTTTTGTATTTGAGGGGCCTCTAGCTCGGAACCCTCATTCAGAAATGGGTCTATTGGGGCCTGTTCTGACCTGCTTCACTGCTGAACCGGCTTGTCTGGGGTGGGGTGTCTGGTCCATGCAGCTTGAGAGAGCACAACTCAGGCCGGGCAGAGAGGGGTCGATCCACTGGCCTAATTCCTGTGATTGTGCATCTCACAGGTGAAGCTGGAGGAGGACATGAAGTACTTCCGGGAGGAGATAGAAAAGACAGAGAAGATGCAAGCCAAGGAGGAGCAGAGCTTAGTAGAGTGGCAGGTAGGCGCCAGGGCTGTGGAGGGGCCCTGAGGGCCTTTCCCTCCCCACAGCCATCCCCACCCACGATGGTGGCATGTGCCCCCAACGCCTTCATGTCTTCAGTGTTGGGGATTCAGGGAAGGAAAAGGTTCCTTCCAGCCTCTGGTGTCAGTCGCTGACCTAAGAATTAAACTGAAATCAAACATGAGGGAGAGATGGTGTTTAGGGGAGGAAGCGTGCAGGGGCTGTGGATGCAGACTTAGACCTCTGGAGATTCATCCAAGGACGAAACCACAGCATGTAACTTCAGGTTAAAACAACAACAGGGTTTCACCGGATCCAGCGAGTGAGTTCAGTTTGGCTGGAGCACTGATACAGCAGCAGAGCAATCTCTGGAGCAGAGCTGTCTGCCCCTGGCTGTATGGTACAGGTGGCGTGGTATCTCATGGCTGGCTATGGCCCTGCAGGATAAAGCAAAGGAGAGGAGAGAGCGCATCCTGGTAGAGTTCCAGAAGGTGGTCCTCTTCCTGGTGGAGGAAGAGCGGAGGCTCCTGCAGACCTTGAAGAAGGAGGAGGAGGAGACAGTGATGAAGCTGCAGGATAGCAAAGCCTCGCTGGACAGACAGAACCACTCCCTGCACTCCCTGCTCCTGCAGCTGGAGGATTGGAGCCGAGAGGACCCCATCCAAATGCTGCAGGTGAGGCTGGCCGGGCCGGGCCAGCCACCCAGAGCCATATACCTGTATAAATCGCCAGGAGATGGGGGTGTGGCATGAGGATGCCCAGGCCCAGGGATAGCTCGCATGGGAGAAAATGCAGCCTGAGAGACAAGTCTGCTAGAGCTTAGGCTGATGGAAGAGTACAGTGGCACGTCCCACGCCAGGAATGCTCAGGACAGAAGAAGCACAGATGCCAAATCTTCTTTTGAATTCTGGAATATTGCCATCAATGTAATGAGGTATCTTGGGGAAAGAACCAGTGTCTCAACATGAAATGCATCTGTTCTGCTGATGGTGGATATAGGTAATAATTTTCAGCACCCCTGTGTTCTTTCATTCTGATCCTATGAGATCAGGTGTGGAATGCTCCACTATGGTGTCCCAGCAGTGCTTGGAAAGATTCAGATTTGGAGACCAGCAGGCTAGCGTTCTGTGGTGCAGTGTTCCTTCTCCATAACTCCCAGTCAGCCATGAGACTGCCAGGGTGTGCTCCCAACATACACAGCGTGAGGGCATGATGCTAAGCTGGGATGTGCACTGGCCAAGCCTACTGTATTTTTAATTTTCAATAGGCTCAATAAAGGATCATCATACACTCACATGCCGAGGTCCTGGGGGTTAGGACTTATGTCTATGACATTTTGGAAGAAGGAAATAATTCAGCCTCCAGGAGGCTCCAACCCAGATGAGCCGCACCTCCCTGCTTCCAGGCCTAAGGAGGTGATGCTGGGCATCTGGTGGAGAGCTGAGGCAGGGCTCACCAGTAGTATGGAGGAGACTCACTGACTCTGCATGGGCAGAAGTGGTTTGGGGGCAGGGCAGAGGTACCTGCAATGCTATGGCTCCGGAAGGGGTGGAGAGATGCTGGCCTTGACTTGACACACGGGTGGGCATCTGGCTCATTCGAACACTGGGTAATTACAGCACAGAATGCACTTTGCACTATGGTCCTGAAGACGCATGCATGCATATAGGTATGCAACTGAAGCAAATGTCTCCTGCAGGGAATCTGTAAGGGTTACAGCACACAGGTGCTGATGCCCTGTGGGGTTTTCCTTGATAACTTTCACAGCCATTCTAACTTAGGATACAGTTTTTCTTCTATAAAAAAACGAAAAAAACAAAAAAGCCTATTCAAAGCCAGGAGCCTGTAATCTGGAGGCTGAGACCTGGAGATCATGGTTCAAAACCAGTCTGGGGAGGAAAAGCCACTAAAAAGCCAGAAGTGGAGTTGCAGTTCAACTGGTAGAGCACTAGCTTTGAGCAAAAGAGCTCAGGCCCAGCGCCCAGGCCCTGAGTTCAAGCCCCAGGACTGGCAAAATTTTAAAAGCAAATAAACCAAACCCACAACCTGCTCACACTTAGTAGGTGGTTTTCTGACCCCTTGGGGGCCTTTTCCTGTGTCTGAGGTTGGACCCAGGGCCTTCGTGAGCAGGCAGCTCCTGCAGACCGTCCGGGCAGGTCCTGTGCCGGAAGTCAGCGCTAGGGTTCGGCTGCCCAAGACGCGGTGGTTTGTGGAGAAAGAGCGTGCTGACCGGAGGCGCGGGCACCGCCGGTGGAGGCCGGGCTCTGCCTCCCGCCCCTCTCCAGCGCGCCGTCGGGGCTTTGCACGGATGGGGAGCTGTGTGCGCGCACACGCGTGGGTGTGACCTCCGTGGGCGCGCGTGACCGCGGCTCGCTCGTGTCGGGCAGGCGCCGGGCTGGGCTCCCCAGGCTCCGGCCCTCGGTGCCGCCCGTGGCTGAGCTGGCACCGCACGGGCCGGACCGGGCCGGACGGGACCGGAGAGACGGCTCTGGGAAGAGCTGTCTGCCGAGACGTCTTTGTCTCTGCCTGAGGGCGGCCGGCGGGGCAGCCGAGCCCCTCTTTAGGGGCAGCTGAGCCCCTTTCTCTCTCTTGGTTCCAGGACGTGAAGGACACCCTGG